CGCCACCCCGGCCACTGCAGATTTGTTCCTGGAAACAGGGGATATGCCAAATTTAGGAACCAATCAAGAAAAAATTCAGAATGAGGTGGATTAGCAGTCAGCCCATAAGTCTGTTGAAGCCTGTAAAATCCTGACAAGCAGTGCAACAGGGTAAAACACAAATGAAAACATACTTCAAAAGAACACAGCAAAACTGTGGCATGGCATAATATTCTTCAAAGAAACTGAACATACTATTGGGGAATAATGATCTATTCTCTACTTCTTCAGCACAGAGGAAAACAGAAAACCTTCCCCACTATTTAATTTCCAAAATGATTTTCATCTTTCATTTGCCAAGTGTCTTTTTATTGGGTCTTGTGCATTTATCCTCTCTTGTTTTTCTGACTAGAAAAAGGAGGTTTGCTGATTCCAGCAAAAAGGTTGTTTGCTTCTGTGTTGCTTTTTCTAACTCTGCTGCTTCCCCACAGTTTGTGTCAGTCAGAGAAACCCCAAGTGAATCTACAAAAGTAGGCAATGGGGAGTACTTAAAAGTTCATTTTTGGTATCTAGGAGATTATGAAGAGATGGATGTTATTATTTTGGTGCCAATAACTTTCATTTCAAAGGCTTTTTATTAAGTCCTTTGATATGTTTTACGTTGTGAGGAAAAATGATACTAAACTGGGTGCTGAAACTTAATCACAGTTGTTGAGTCTTGCTATGCCTGTGAGACACTGATGTGAATGCGTTCAGCTTGGATTTCTACAAGGCTCAGTTACTGTCTCATGTGTCTGCAGCCATTTGAAAGCAAGTTACAGAGAAATACACACAACAGTAGGGTAAAACTGGTTTACTTTTTATTATTTCACTGCATATTTCCTGTTTTTCTTCATTCATAATGCTGAATTTGCTGGCTAACATCCTAGAGGCCCCTGAGTAAAGGATAGTAGGTAGGATCAGCTTTTGGATTTTTATGGGTGTTTAGAAAAGTTGTGGTAATTAATAGATCTGAAACCTCAATTTGAATAACTTTTCTATTTTATCCTGACGTAGCTTTTTCATTGAATACTGTCAACAGTCCCAGTCAGCTCATAAATATTAGGACTTCACTAAAGTTCCCAATACAAAGAAGAATTTATTTTTAAATCCTGTAAAATCTTGCTCTTTCATTGGTCCTAATGTCCTAGTTGCATATATTTACTGGAAGAGACAGAAAATAATGAAGAGAACATCTGTAACAGTCTTAGGGGCTTTAGCAGGCAAATGGGGTTCAGAGGTGACACTAAAGCCATCTGCTTGTTATGGTGGTTGCTTTTTATAAAAAATGTAAATAATTCTTTTATCTAATTAAGCTTGTAATATACCCTAAATGAATCACTTTCCAAGTGAATAGGCACACAGAGGAGCTGTGTGTTATTTGGTTTTCACGAATACCTGATTTCTTCCTTTTTTCTTTCTGTCAGTGAGGTCGATTAAGTGAACTCAGACATAGACTAGGCTCTGCTTTGCAGTAATCTGTGAACCCGTCATGGTTGTTTTTATTCTTGAACTGCAATTAATGTTGTGCTTTTTCTCCTGTCACACAGAAAAAAGAAAAGCTAACCTATTGGACCAACTTACCAATACCAGTGGGACTATAATTGGGGTGACTTCTTGCATTGTGATCATCCTCATTGTTATCTCTGTTATAGTACAGATCAAGCAGCCTCGTAAAAAATTTGTCCAAAGGAAAACAGACTTTGATCAAACAGTGTTCCAGGAGGTGTTTGAGCCTCCTCATTATGAGTTATGCACTCTCAGAGGGACAGGGCCTACAGCTGACCTTGCTGATGTTGCAGATGACTTTGAAAATTATCATAAACTGCGGAGATCATCTTCAAAATGCATTCATGACCATCACTGTGGATCACAAGTGTCTAGCATTAAGGGCAGCCGTAGTAACCTCAGCACAAGAGATGCTTCTGTCTTGACAGAAATACAACCCCAACCTGTAAAACCACTCATTCAGCCCATGAACAGGAGAAATATCCTTGTCATGAAGCATAGCTACTCACAAGATGCTGCAGATGCGTGTGAGATAGACGAAATTGAAGAGGTACCAACCACAAGTCACAGGCTGTCCAGACATGATAAAGCTGTTCAGCGGTCAGTATCAATAGATTTTTGATGAAGACTATTGTGTAAGGACTTGATTGCCCAAACATATTCACTCTTTATTCAGTAAAGACGTATTTTCTTTCTTTATTTATTGTTTAAATTTCTGTTTCCTGATAGCACATACCATTATATTATCTCTCTCTTCCTGTCTCTCTCTCTCATCTCTGCTCCTGTTTCCTGAAGGATCCTGTATCTCAGTTTTATCTTTCTACTTTATATCTTTCTTTTTCTTTTACTATTTTACACATACCCAAATGCATATACACACAGGTCAACAGAGAACAGGTACAATTTTTAAAAACCAAAGAAGATTTTGTCTGAATCTAGTTTTTGAAAGAGCCACATACATGTGGCTTCATTGTAACTCAGGTGGCCTTGAGTATCATCCACTGTTGGTCTAACATCTCTAAATCAATACATCAATACATCAATAAATGAAAACCACATGTATCCATTTTGATGCATGGCACAACAATGAGAAGCACAATCCTGGGGTGAGGAAACCCCTTTTCTCATGAACCATTATCTTTTATTTAATGAATGACAATATTTGCAAAACTTTACCATATCTGTTCCATTATTAATCACAGTATCTTGGCTTGTCATATTAACATATATATATATATATATATATATATATCAATGAGAACATGAGACAGCATAGTGAATAGAGAATACTCATATATTTACATGATAGAATGTAGTTAAAAGAAATCTTTCTAATCAATAAAGAAGTAAAGTCAAGCATGATATTTTTAATAAAAGAACTATTCTTACTGTATATTGCACTTTGAATGACTGTAAATATGAATGATTAAAAGTTTACACGTAAAAGAAAAAGAAAAGCAGAAACATTTATGAACCATTTATTTGAAAAAGAATACAGAAACTTTTTGTATATATTTGTGTTTTCTCTTGCATGCATTATTTATGTACTTCTTCTGACTGTTTACATGCCCTCCATATTTTCTTTGCACATTAAGGCATTTCTGTCTCTTAAAAAAAAAAAAAGAGTTATTTGATTATCCTAATCTAATTACATGCCAGTATAAATTACTTCATGAATATTGATCTGATTATCAAGGTGTACTGTTTATTAAGTATCTATATGCATATATTTCTTTTTTTCTATGCAAACATTATTATTTTGAATGAAATAGCCATAACATTCCAGGTTCTGCCTCATTGGGTCTCTAAGCAAACATGAGTCTGAGTACAACACAACTAGGGTCTAAGAGACAAACTTGAGGTAAGTAAACATACCTATACAACAATTGAACCATCTGTTGCTTTCCATTTTATTTGTTATATTGCTAAAATGCATGTTAGTTCTCAAGTTATATGTCACCCTGTATGGACAGAGCCAGGTTTAAATACTGAGAAAACTGAAAGACAGATGACCACTTTAGCATTGTAAACTAAGAAAAATCTATTAATTCCTTATTCTTGACAGCACTATAATCATCCCTTAGCTAAATACAATCTTCATTCCAAACACATTATGAAGACAGATGCTTTGCATGGCTCTGGTGTTTCATTTATTTTTTTATTTATGAAAATAAAATTTAGAGTCCCAGCATGTGAAATAGTTATGTAAAACTTGGCAATCTAGACCAAGCCAGGAAGATGTGGAACTATCTGTTTTCAGTTAATTTTATTCATTCAACCTCATGAAGTGTTGGGGGAAGGGTATGTGGTAGTACTGATAAATTTAGAGATTCTGTAGCACTAACGTTAATGTTTGCAAATTAAACTTCCTTTTTTGAGTCTTTTCCTAGGCTTTTCATTTTGTATAATTTGTTATCAACACTTAATCTCAATAAGTGTAATCTCAGATATTTATAATGAAGTTATAGATAGTTGCTAGTCTGACAATCTATATATATATGTGTGTATATATATGCACATAGATATATGTATATACATGTTTATATGTGTATATATGTATACAGCAATTTTACTGGGAAAAAATCCATTAAGGCTTTTATTGCTTCTAGATAGGTTAGGTAAATATTTTTTCTGTATTTTTCATCAGAGAGAGAATGTATTTTAACTTTGTTTTGCTTTCAGACAACTATTTATGCAGTCATGCAAACTCTGAATGGAAAAATCTATAGTGAATTATTGCAGCTGTCTGAAAGAGAGACTGGACATGTTTCTAATTTCATTTCATTGCCTTTATCCAAACCTAAGAAGTACAAACATATTTTACTTCCTTAGCAAGATATTCCCATTGCACAATAATATGTTTCTTTTGTAATTTGGTTACTGGTCACCAAGTGCTCCTTAGTTTTTAAATATATTTGGAGATTTGCTGCAAACTTGAAGAAGAAATTAGCTCCTAACTGAGACTGTCCTTTTTTTTTTTTTTTTTCTTAGTTTTATTTCAGCTGATACGTTTTATGTCTGTTATTTACTTGTATGTTGTGTGGTATGTGGAAGAAGATTTACATTGAACTTTTGTTATATGTACATTGTTTTCATTATATAGACTGCTTGAGAATAGTGCGCTCCTGGGTGATTTTGAACATGCTACAATGAAATGTGAAACTATCGTCCTTGGAAACACCAGCTAGAGGTTTTATGGACTCTCTGACCAGCTACTGTCATATCATGACAAAATTCAGCAAACAGTGTTGAGTAAAATTACTAGAAGGCAATAAGACTTTGTTTATTATGCTTATCAGTCATTTCTCTTTTTTTCCCTCTCTTCTTTTCGTTGCAAGTTAAATTCCCAATTTCAGGAACAATTTATTGAAATCAGGTATTTAGCCATTCATAATCACTTCAACAGAAATGTTTGTTGGATGCGCATCTACCAATATGACTGAATTTGACATTGAGAAAAAAAGCTGCATGTATGTTACTGAATATTTGAGTTGGCAAAAATCCCTTTATTAGATACATTGTAAAAAGCATGCATTCACAATTAATTATTGCTGTTACTGTTCCATTTCTGTGTCATATGCTTGCTACTTGTAACTTTTTATATAAAGATACATAAAACAATGTATAATAATTTCTTACCTTGAGTTTAATGGCAATGTTTTCTTTTAACAAATTTACAAATCTTGTGTAATTCAGAAGATTAAGCTCAAAATGTCACTTCTAGGAACTTGAAAACCAGATACATCAGAGAATCAGCCTGTCTCTCATCCCTCACTTATTGAAAAGCAAAATACATTAATATTTTAAGATTTAAATTAATTCATAATATATAAAGTTGATCACCTAATTTCAGTTAAAAGGTTTGTGATAACCTTTGTGCTCAATTCTGTACTCTTAACTAATTTATTTCTATGACAATTATTAGGAAGTTTGCTTCAGTGTAGCGGAGTAGCAGGTTTTTATCAGTTATACAAATGCTATGGCTGGGCTCCAATTTTAGAGATACAGATATAAACCACTTCACTTCCTTATGCAAGATAAAATATTCATAATTCAAGCTATAAACATTAGTAACCAACACTGAAATCAAACCTGAGACGTTAAGTTATTAAGGAATTATTGTAGGTTGAAAAGCCACAATTATGTAAAGTTGAAAACCTCCTCATTTAAGAACTCAATAAACATGCATAAAATCATAGTTTCATTATCTATTTAAAGTGTTATCTTTCAAATTCTGTTTCAGAACAAATCCCAGTTTCTTCTTAAACATATTGTGTCATTCATAGTTGTTAGATTTTCCTGTATAAAAATTTTGCTAGTTTTATTGAAAAAGCGGGAAGAATTCCATGGATATTCACAAAGTATAAATAGATGGGAAAAGAGAAAACCTGAAAGACTAATATAAAAAATAAGGTGATCTATATCAGCTATTTAAATATATAGTGCATAATTTACATAATTAAAAATACAGGAAATCTGATTTCTACAAAACAATTTCTACAAATGTGATTTAGGAATGACATGAGAAGAAGGGTTTCAGATATTTGCCTCCTTTTTTTTGTACACTATATTTGCAATCTATTTTACATAATTTGATTTTAGCTTGATTAATTTGTTTGTTATCACATATTAGCTGCAAAAACCACTCCTCTGTCCTCTGCAGTCAATGAGTCATTGAGTCATCTCTTACATGGATTTTTAGCATGCACTGATAGTTCATTTCCAGGTCTATATCTTTCCAAGTTCATATACATTATCACTGTTTTTTTCCTTAATCTTTCCAAGTCCTATCTCATAATCCTTTCTGAAGTATATTATTTGCCACATCCTTGCTTAAAATGCATGCATCCATGCATCCATTATAAAATCAAGGAAGAATGAAAGACTTGCTGAAATAAATGCATATACATGCACACACACCTTTATGTATATTTATAAATATTTACTAATGGAAATCGTGTATGAATAAATATATAAGGAGAAATCTAAATATGTGAACTTAGCTTTGAATGAATTATATTGGTGACCTAGAAAAATGTTGAAGCCTTGGATTTTAAAGTTGCTATATATTTAAGTGCCTAAATTCCACTGAAACATAGAGTTGGTCTAGTCCCTCCTAGACAAGCACACAATGAAATCCATTTTATGATTTTTCCAGTGAAGTGTTGACTGAGAGAGCTTAGCTGGAGAAGATATGGGTATTAATAACTATGTTGCATGCAAATCCTTGCTTTCTTAAAAAAACCCTAATTATATCAGGGAAAATGAGTGAGAAACATAAAAACATCTGTAAATAGAGCAGGTCAAAGTGAGAATGGTAATGCTTACTTGATTTTGGAAACTTCTTTAGAAACATGTTCTCTAATGAATAGGTATACCCTTAAAGAACACCACCATTGTAATTGACAAAATATGTGTATACTGGGGGAACAGGGTCAAATTATAAAATTATCTACTAAAAAATAAACAACAATATATTCAAACTCAATTAAAATATTATAATTGAAATATTTAATTTTAAGAAAATATATTCTGTAAATAGTCAGTGTAAATAACAGCCTAGTCCACTATACTGCAAGCAGTAAAGGTAACTTTTGCTTGGTATCACACAATAGTAGGATACCTTAATGTGATCTATAAAACTCAAAATATTAAAATAAAAGGGGTTGTTGTTGAAAGTAAACAGTTTGCCTTTCCTATGAGTATTTTTTATTATTATGAAGCCACTTTTTTAAAAATAGAAAGCAGTTCAAGCAAACGAGTTCAAACAGACAAGCTAGTTCAAGCAACTTCAAGTTCATGCAAGTTCAATTAGCTATAAAGAGAATACTCAAAACTGGTATTTGACCACATACTATAAGTGAAATTTAACCTATTCTATTACACCTTTTCCATTTTATGGAAAGAAGGTTTGGCTTGTTAAATTAACACAGCTATATGTATTCTGTATTACAATTTAGTAAATTACTGTGGATTAGCTGAGCTGGTAGTGTTAGCTTCATGCATTTTACCTCATGTTTGGCTTAAGCTAAAACTAAGAACGGTGGATACTAGATCATTTTGGTTTGACTGGTGTAGTGTGTGTGATGTAGAGCCATGTTGACAGTATGCTTATTTCTTATATATTTTTTAAAGATGAGTTTTTGTTATCACAGTGCATTGCCATATTGTTCATAGTTGTGCTTGTTTGTTTTTTGGGTTTTTTTTTTTTTTTCCCATGGGTGTAGTGTTATGTATATACTTTTCTTTTTAGATGATTGTGTGAACAACTACTCCCAACCATTTTTCACTGCTCCAGGAAATATGGACTTTTCAGTTTGTGAAGTCTTCTCTGCAGCATCATTTAAAAATCTCAGGAAGTCCATTTTGTAAACCATCCCAGTGTAAATCCTATCTTCCCAATTCTAAAAACAGCTTGAAGGAAAAAAAAAAGGCTCTGAGAAATGTTAGTACCTTATCCTTCTCTTTTTCTCCATTTTTATGCTGGAGATATTCTCTTGAACCTAGCAACAAAGTAAGCAATGGGAGGGAATAAGAAAAAGTAGAAAGGTTTCCTGTTCAAAAGAAATTGCTAGCACCAAAAAAAAAAAAAAGGCAGACAAAGAAAAGAAACAGAGAAAGGTATGCTAACTAGAGGAAGAGTATGAAGGATTGTTGCTCATACCCATTCACAAATTTACAGACACATTTAGGACAGATAAATTCCTTAGCCACCAAATAAAAATATACTATCCATGTCCATCTCTAAAAGATAGCTGTAATACCTGTGCTTTATAGAATACTGTCCTGCAAACAAGAAGCTGGCTTTTTCTGTTTTCTTGTCTTCTACTTTATGTGCAATCTTTCTGCTACCAGAAAGATATTCTAGCTGAGGGAGCACAGCTGAAGAGCTAAGTGATACAAAGGAAAAAAACTGTATCATTCAAAACTCTTTTTAACACAGAAGTTTGTATCTGATCTGGAAGTCTCTTATCTCCTCACTCCTGACTCAACATTTGATGTGAAGTCCTGGACTCATGGTTCCACTGCTCTTCCTCATTATTACTTTGGCATCGTCTCTCTTTACTCTTTGATGATCATTTTACATCTTTATCACTGCTGCCTTTCATTTCTGTCCATAGTGAGTTTAGTTGTGTTCCCTTCTCTCCTCCAAATTACCTGCAAATGCTGAAGTCCTGTCAGCTCACTGACCTTGTGTTACCCTTGCATCCACCTGGCTCTTTCCCATCTATCACTTCAGAGCCATCTTAACCTTACCTTGCCTATAAACAGAAAATGAAAACATGTGATCACAGCATATCTTAATTATCTTTAATTTATGCAGCACAACAAAAGCTATGAAGATAAATTGGAATGAATTGGAGTAGGGGCTTATTAGGGGTATTGGATTTGCATTTTAATGACTGTGCATCAATGTTGTCTGGGCCATCTACACCTGGGTTGGCATGCCTGCTCCTGCTATAGTCATACCTCAATGTGCTGCAAAGAGAAACTTACTTCCACCCCTTTTCTTCTCCCAGTGATACCTGCACGATTGTCAAACCAAGTTTTATTTCAAGAGCTTCTATCTTCTCTCCTATGCTGTATTTATATTAGTATGTCCCTCCACACAACATAAATCCCTGTCCTAGCCTCCTTCACATGCCTATTAAAACACATTTCAGCTGCATAGCCTGGCAAACACCTGTCAGTGGTGTGGCAGAGCTATCATCAGCAAGGTAAGAACATCAGCCACCAGGAGAAGCAGGAGTTGCACTTCCCTCCATTTGCTTTCCCAGGAAAAGGAGTCATGCTGATCTGCATTCTCCCAACAAGGTCACTATGGGAAAAAAGGGAAGATGCCATCCACTTCTAGCAACAAACTGTAACTAGGAGTAGAGAGACAATCTAAGCAGCCCATGATAAAAAACAGAAAGAACAAGATTGCTCAGATTTCATTGCCAAAGTAACAGGCCTGACCAACACCATGTAGCAGCATTGCATCTCTTCATGCTCAGATAAGGGAAGACTGAAATGCAATCTTTCTTTATCCCAGGGAGCAGGATACTGCAACTGTGAGTACCGATTCTGTGCATGGTTCTGGAAGGACTTAACAGCTGCTTGCATACATGTAGGCAGACAAAGGCTTACTGGGCCTATAGGGGCAGTCTTGTGCTGCCACATGCAGTGGACAGCTCTGCAATATCTAATTACTTAGACCTTTTAAGTTTGCCGTTCTTCAGTCTGTTCTCCTCAGCTCCAGTGAGACATAGTAAATGCACTTTGTTTCTAAAATGGTGGTTTCATTGGAAAGTGATTACTTGGCATTTAATTTAGTTGGATGCGAAAGGCATCCATGGCACTTGCTGCAGCTATTGTAAAAAAAAAAATAAAAAATTGGTGTTTTTTGCACACATCCTGGATACATGTATCTGGTTAAATGAACAATTCAGCTGCATCAACTGCATCAGTAAATGAAGACACCTTCCATCTAAGGTTTTGCTAATAAAACTGCAGGGCCTGATTCATGTTCTGTTCACATCATTTCTCTAGATCCTCATTTTTTCTGAGTTCAATGAAAATTTTAATTAGGAAAAGTCGGTTTGTTGAAAGCGAATGGCTTTCACCATCTTTAATGAAGCACAGAACACA